CTTTAAATCGCTGAAGAGCTATCATGGGGAGCAAGGATTAGATCACCTCTGTGAGGGATGGGGGGGGACTAACAGACAATTAGGGAAATGAGTAAAAGAAACACTCTCAATATGAAGAAAAAAAATACTACACAGTATGAGAAACTCAGAACAAAACTCCAAGAGAAAAGAACAGGATCACAGATTCTAGAAATAGAGATTTAGAACTAGAAAGGACCTTTGAAATCATACCTAGTCCAACATCATCATTCTGTGGATGAAGAAACTGAGGCCATAGAAGTTCAATGACTTGCCCTTTTAATGCTAGTGCCTTCCCTCTGTTAAATTTTCCTATTTATCCTGTATATAGCTTGTTTGTTTGAAGATGTTGTCTCCCCCATTAGACTGTGAGCTCAAGAGTAGGGAATACCTGGTTTTGTATCTTCAGAGCTTAGAATGGTGCCTGACACATAGTAGGCTCTTAATAAATGTTTACTGACTGACTAAAGTCACACAGTTAAGTGAGCTGAGATCTGAAACCAACTTCAAAACCAGTGCTCTTTCTACCAGTACACTAGAAAACTGACTGGCCACAAATAACAAAAATAGTTAGTTTAATAAAAGAAGTGAACAATCATGATAATAAAAATTACTGGCATTTAAAAATCAGTGTAAGGGGTGCAAGGCACCTTATTTCACCTGATCCTCTTATCAACACAGTAGGTAAGTGATATAAATCCCTGAAATTCAGGGCTTTTTGACAGAGTTCAACAGTATGGATCAATATTCGAGCTCATAACGAAAAACCGAAAAGGAGAACTAATGGCTTAGAATAAAAAAGGAGTGGCCACTTAGAAAAAAGAAAACAGCAAAAACAGCTCAAAAGTTAAACAACTCAATAATAGTAAATCAATAACAGAAGTCAGTAAAATTGAAAGAACACATAAGATATCTACAATCAGAAACAAAAGCCCAACGGCAATTTTTAAAATATTATATTATAAAATATATAATATTTAATATCATGATTTAATTATAATTAATAATATTGTTGATGTTATTATATATAAAATATAATTTAAAATAATTAATAATATTATTGTTTAATACTATAAAATATATTTTAAATATTAATATTATCCTCTCAGAATGAGAGGATGAAATGAAAGAACATATTTCAAAGCCAGGGAACAGTTAAAGGACAGTCAATGCTCAGTCTAGAAGGGAAATCCCCAGCAAACACCCAATGGAATAGTAACAACGCAACCAAGAGAATAGGAGTCTTTAAATATCTAGAAAAAAACTACCATTTTTACACAACATCAGCCCAGTTGACTTTTCCTCCATGATATCCCCATAAAATATGGAAGGAATAATAGAGTCCAGATTGAACCCCAGCTACCACATTCTCAACTGGACAAGTATCTCCTCTTAAATAGAATGTCATCTATCCACCTCTCAATAAACAGGAAAAAATTTCCACCGAAACCATGGTGAATTTTAAAAATTCATTGATAGTTAATAAATAAATCAAAGAAGAGGAAGTTTTCAAATATTAAAAAAAAGAGTAAGAATTAACACCAATAGAACAAATATCAAAAGATAAAATGAACTGTATAATAAACATATTAAAGGAATCAAAGGAATATTTAAATTCAGTCCAAAAACAGGCAAGGGAAAAGAAAAAGAAACAAACTTAAAGAAAATGCAACACAGCACGAAAAAATACAAAATATCAATGGAAGGAATAAAAAAGTAGAATAAAAAACAGCTGAGAAAAGATCAATGGACAAGAAAAATGAAATCAGAAAATAAACAGATTGTTATAGAACTTGAAAAACAATGACAATAGGGGATAAAATATAGTCTTAGAAGATAAGTTGAGAAGTTCAAACCTCAAATTAATTGGGATGCCAGAAAGTAAAAAAAAAAACAAAAACCTTGGCACTATATTAAAAGAAGTAATCAGAAACTATTCCCTGAATGAACAAATGAATAATAGGAATTACTCAGCAAGTAGAAAAAAGTCACTGACCTCACTATGTTGAAATCCAAAACTCAACTTTCCAAGACACAAAATTATCACATTTGAAAATTATGACAATGAAAGAATTACAAACGAGTCAAGAAAGTTAAGAAAAATTAAATTGGAAGCAACAGAGTACAGTGGGAATAGTACTGAATTTGGACCCAGGGGACCTAATTCTTGTCATTAGACAAGCCGTTTAACCCTTCCAGTCCTCAATCCTTAACTGTAAAATAAGGGGGTTTGGACTAAATGGCTCCTATAGACACTTCTGGGTCTAAACCTGTGGTTCTATGATACGTATTATAAAGTATCCATTGATATCTTGCCAGATTTTTTCAATGAGGAATCATTACGCCAGAAGACAAGAGGAAGAACTGATCAAAAATATACATGCCTTAAAAGCAGCAAAAGTTACAGAAGCTTCTAATTTGAACATTTTATTTGGGGCGAGAAAAAAAAATACTTAAAAATAACAAAACTCTAACAATTTATTTTGAAAAGTCTACAACGTCAAAGATCCCCATAATCAAAGGAGAATTTCAGATCTAAGGACAAGATATAATCAATGAAAAGTGTCTATTATATAAGTTTGTCATTATTTTTACCTAGGGATATTAAATATTTACAAAGAAACATGTGTAAACAAATTAATTCATATTATAAGCACATATTGGAATTAAGGAAAACACAAAGAGTTCAAATATATTTGGAGTTATAAATAAGGTGTTTAAAATGGCAAGAAATAATTATAAAAGTCTCACAGTCAAAAAAAAAGTCAGAGAGAGAGAACAAGAGCAGCTGATAGCCTGAAAATGAAACTTCTATTTTTAACCAAAAGGGGTTGTTTATTTATTTCTTTTAGCACTGGAAATTGTTGTAGAAAACTCAACTAAGCTATTCCTAATAGATAAGATTAAGAACAAAAATAGGAAAAAAATGAAAATGACAGGATCAATCAAATTTATTATACATTAAATGTGAATAGTCTAAATCTTCAGATTAAAAGAATAGCTACACAATGGTTTAAATAAATAAATTCATCAATATCACAGAATAACATGGAATATCCAAAGAAGTTATCTTGTCTTTATTTTATAGATGAAGCTGAGTCCCAGAAAAATGAAGTGACTTGCCCAAGATCATGCAGTGAGTGTAATAAAGGCAGATAAAATTGAATTCAAGGCAGAAAATTATAAAAGAGGAAGAAAAAAGAGAGGTGAAATAAATTGAAATACTATATAATAATGTTAAATTTACACACAACAAACAAATCCACAATTAGATTAATAAAAGTTAATAGGGCAAGAAAAAATAAACTATGATAATAATACAAACCATCAATATGACAAATCTACTAAAAGGATCAAGAAATAATAGATATGAATTAATTGCTGAATAAACTGATATATCAATAAAATGCAAAACTATAAAACATTCAAAAACTATAAACATATAAGGAATATAAAAATTTGGGGGAAGAATTAGATGAAGTAAAGCAATTTTAAAGAAAGCAAAACCAGACATGGCATTATATATTCACAATGACTACTATTACCTAAAAATTAAGATGTATATATGAATGTAGAAATTAATGAACATGAAATGGATGGGGATAAAGGAGAAGTAACTATTAAGCTAATATGAGAACAGTATGTGTTAAAATCTACTATTCATTTTTAAATGTAAATAGGTACCTCCCCTATCCTTCTTGGCAGAGGTAAGTGCACACTAGGTATGAAAAACTGTGTGTACAATCAAATTTCTGATATGCTAGGTTTTTGTTAACTGCTGGGAAATGTTGGTAATATAGAAACAAAAGATAAAGAAAAAAATTTAAATAAAGATAAGATTCCAGATGAGACACGCAAAATATGTAAATAGCTACAAATGTATGCTTATTTGGCTTTGTTGTTCTTCAGACTATTATTCAGACCCATCATTTTCTTTTCTGAGTCCCAAACTATCGACTTGATTTTTGATGATTTGCTTTTCTCAGAAACATCTAGTAGAGCACATGCAACTATATGATTTTGATGCTTTTATCAGAATTATAAAAACACTTATTTAAAAAAACAGATGTTAAGTCACAATCTGACAAATAACTGAATACAAACTATTTCAACTGAAATTTTATGGTAACACACGTGAAAATTTCAACACACACCTTGCTCAATACTGGTCTGAGCAAGGCTGAAAAGCTCAGGTGAGCGTTCTTCTAACAACTGCTGGTGAATGTTCACACATCTTAAGGTCCACCATGGTAAGGTCTAAAAAAGAAAAAATAAACCCAATAAGCTGAAATAAATTAAGAATTCAGAAAAATTCATACCCCATAAAATATTTCATTTAAAAAATAACAATATATTTACAGCATACCTATAGATCCATTTAAATACAACTTTTAATTAGATTTAAACATATTAAGCAACTTTGTTAAACTCACAAAATCATAGAATCTAAGGGCTAGAAGAACTCTCAAAAGTCATAAAGTCCAAGTCACACATGAATAAGAATTCTCTCAATAATACACAACAAGTGGTCATTAGATATTTGTTTGAAGACCTCCACAGTATCTCTTGAGATAAACCACTCCACTGATAGACAGTACTAACTGTTGGGGAGTTTTCCTCACTTCAAGCTTAAATCTAATTCATGGCCCTCTCCAGGCTGATCTTCAGATTGAACAAGTCCCAGCTTCTTCATCAGATGATTCCAACAGATATTACTATTAAGTCTTTATGCACTGCCATGATTTTTAACATGCACTCTATTTGCCTATGGGCCAGCTCTATTTGGAAGTCCCATCACTACAATAAATTAAACACTGAGACAAATGAAAAGGCTATTGCAACAGTCCCAATGGGGGATGAGGAGGGCCTAAACTAGGGTAGAGGCTGTGTGAGAAGACATAAGAGAACAGACATGAAAAATATTCTGGAGGGAGAAATGACAAAACTGACAACTAACTGATCCGGGAAAAGTGGAGAATCGTGCTTGCTTTGGCAGCATACAGTAAAACTGGAACCATACAGAGAAAAATTAGGATGGCCTCTAGGCAAGAATGACAAACAAACTAGTAAAGCATTCTAGATTTTTTTTTTTTAAAGAAAGAAGCATAAATGAAACATTTAAAAATACAAAAAAAGAAAGCAAAAGAACTTCAAAAGGGGACAGACACAAGCAGGGCACTATCATGATACTATCATGATAAATTTATTCTATACTTTTTGAAAAACTTTATTTAATAGAAGTGCAATTTCATCTGAATGTTGAATATGTTCATGTTTGCTGATGTTTGTCAAGTTCATAATAAAAAAAAAATGATGTCCCAATTAATGTCACAAATTATAAACCTCAGTGACCTCTTTTTACAAATCCTGCACTGTTTCAACTACATGGGTAAGAGATGTCCTTCCAAAGCCATATTCTATCAGTAGCTACCATGACTCTCTAGCATCTATGATGTCAGATTTGCTTCCCAGCATTAAAATAGCTGCTTTAGCTTGCACATTACACATACTTTGTGCATCTGTGTGCAGATAATGAAGTCACAGGTTTTACTGCTAACTGCTTTCTTGGATTTTTATCTAAATTTCTATTAAATATCTACAGTTTTTCTTCTTCTTACATTGTGGTTACTCTTCACAATATCCAGCAGAGAGGCTGTTTTCAAATAATAGGTAGGACATGGCCCACCACTCAGCCTGCCCAGAGAACCACAACAAAATCAACCCTATTTTAGTAAAGGAAATAGAGAAATCTCTGAGTTTTAAGTCCTAAGAGCTACCATGTATGAGTTAGAATGGCCAGTTTTTCATTTAAAAGGAAAAACTGAACAAAGAATGATGTCTACATAAAAAAATCACAAAACTATGAAAGAGGACTTTAAACTGATGTCAAGAGAAGTTTAGCAATTGCAAGGAAATTGAGACAGCTTTTTTCTTAAACCTCACAAAGCATGAAGTCCAGACTGGATGGCTGATATGTTTACTTATTCCACTGTATTGATGATAGCGTATTCACTAATAGTATTTTCTTTCAAATAATGCCGCCATAGTTACCTATGAAAGGTTATGACTGACGCAACTTAAGATTGCTTTGCTCATTCATTACTGCCCCATTAATCTCACTTGAAAGAAAAAAAATGTCATATGGCAGCCTTATGCCTTCACATTACATTTTTTGAAGTTCACAGCTAGTTAATCTCCAATGGAGAAAGATATACTCTGCCTCCAAGGACATTTTAATTAAGACCAACTTGAGAGAAGAATTTTCTGTTCAGAATGTCATTAAAATCCACATGACAAGAAATCACTGTTCAGCTAAAAAATACAAATTCTAAGTATTGGTGACATTTTTATGTTCAGGCGCCACCATTGTTATCCACATCTTCAAAGATCCTCTTTGTGCAAATGTACTGAATGCAGAAGGTGTGAGTACAGGAAAGCTGATAGAGACCATCACTAGCACTCTTTCTAACCTCTCCTTGAAGAGCCAAGGACTGTATTTATCAACATAAGAAACTAGTCTTCTACACACGGGCTTAAATCTACACTCCATATTCTACACAGATTATTCGTTTAACCCCCAAAACATGGCCTTAAGTCTAGATCCAAGACAGTCTTTTCTCAATTCACACTCTTATCAATTAATATAGCAAATGACTCAGAACCTTCTACATTTTAGAGGACCACAGAGGGTGTATTCTTTGAAGCAAATATCCTGGAACTCAAAAACACAGCTCAAAGCAATTATTCTTTAATATAATAAATGGGCCATGATTCAAGGTTACTGGCCAATTGTTGACAGCATATTCAATTACATTGTCATTTCATGCATTCAAGAAATTAATTCAGAGACCAATATGACGAATGTCGCATCTGAGCAACCAATTTATCAGTCAACAATAAGCATCTACTACGTGCCAGGCATTGAGTTACTGTGCAGGAGATACAAATACAAGAGACCCAATCTTGACTAACAGGGAGCTTATATTTACTGAAAAGTTCATTAACATACAATTATCATAAATGAATGAAGGAATGAATGAATGAAAAGCATTTGTTAAGCGCTTGGTACATACCAAGTGCTAGTAGGTATACAAATACAAATGTCCTTAAGGGGCTTACATTACAGTAGGGAGAAACAAGACATATAAGGGAAAAGTAGTGAGGGAAGAGTGTTTTGCTTTCTCACAGGGATGGATAGTGGAGCCATAGGGAAATCAAATGACATGCCCATTAAAGAATCAACAACAGCATGATTTGGTCACACCACAAACATGTAACAAAGCAGGACAAAGATCACTTAAAGTTTTAGAGGATCAACCCAAACGTTTAAACAAATCAGCTACATACACTTCACATAACCTCCCTCAAAAATGATTTTTTTCAAATGCATACTACTCTCTCAATAGTTAAGAAATATAAATGTTATCTAACAAAATGACTCAGAGGACTACTAGGAAGAGATTCTGTCAAAAGGTTAAACCCACATATTTCATCACTTTGTTATGCAACACAGAGACAATATAAATAAGAATTTTCAAAATTAAGTGGTTTGGGAAATAAATCTCAGAAAACTCCAAATGCTGCATTTAGAGGTTATTGGGGGGAAGATATGCATTCAATGATGAGAATTTCTTCTAAACTCTCTATGTATTTGCTGTGGTTAGTTGGCAAATTCTCATCCTAGAAGTGCTCTGGAAAAGAACCAGGAGAACAAATCAATTTAGTCATGCTTTATTCAAAAACATTTCAAATATAAAGTTTCTCTGTCTTTTTAAGTTTTAAAAATTTTTCATTCCTTTTTTTTATAAGTACTTCCTTCATATCCTTCACCTTTTTTATCCTTCAACAACGACTAAAATTTATGATCATAAAATCATGATTTAGGGATGAAAGAAATCTCAGAGGGCATCTAATTTAACCATTTCATTTTATAGTTAAAGAAAACGAGGGGCAGCTAGGTGGCACAGTGGATAGAGCACTGGCCCTGAAGTCAGGAAGGTCTGAGTTCAAATATGACCTCAGACCAAACATTTGACACTTACTAGCTATGTGACCTTGGGCAAGTCCCTTAACCCCTATTGCCTAAAAAAAAGAAAAAAAAGAAAAAGAAAATGAGACCCAAGAAGGTTAAGTACCTGCCCAAGGTCACACAGAATATGTCTGGGGGGTAGGGGGGATGCAACTGAGGTCCCCTAAAGCCAAATTCATTAGTCTTTACACTGTATTACACTAACTCCTTTTAAGATTAATGGCAACAAGGACAGATATGTACATGGCCTTTTAATGCTGTCTCACATAGATGAAATCACTGAATCCTTGAAACAATGCTGCAAGATACAGACAATTTATTATCCCCCCTTATCAAACATTGAAAGAATTTTGGAAGTTTCCTAAATGCAATGAACTCAGGTCTATTCTTTATAACACTAATAAAAGTATATGTGTATTCTAATACATAATGGTGATGAGGGTATAAAACAAAATAAAAAAAAATTTCTGACTAAAAGATTTATGATAATATCATAGTTCTGCCTGATATTAACCTAGCCTGCCACCTGCTGGCAGGGATTGGGAATAAGCAAACTTGCAGTCTTTTATTGTTATGTAGCAAAAATATCTTGATTAAGAGGAAAACAAAAGTCAAGAAAGAAGAGTTAACATTGAAATCTACAAACTAAAGTGTTTTAGAAATGTTTTCTTGTATTTAACAACCACTCTCTAAAGACTTCTGATAGACTCAAATTAAGTCCCATTTCTAGGGTTTTTCATACTAAAATATATGAAAAGCCCATTTTAAGACATTCTGCAGCTGTCCTGGCCCTGGTACCTCCTCAGTGAGAGGCAATATAGGAATTAGGAAATCTGGGTATGGAATATTGGCTATGTGAATGACCATGGGCAAGTCACTGAAGCTCTCAATGTACCTTTCAATGAACCCACATACCTCACTAAGACTAGGCTAGAGAGAAATCAAACTATGCTGGTGGAGGAAGTTTCTAGACCAGGAGTTTCCTGGATCACAGATCCAATACCTCCACCTCAAATTTTATAGATATAGATACAGAGAGATATACACATACATATATACATATATACACATATACACACACAAACATACATGTGTGTAGACATATATATAAATATATGTTTATATAAATACATATTCATATTCCAGAGCTTGAATGGTAGGTCCAAACATCAGCCCAGGATAAACACCAAAAATATTGTAAACTATTACAAATCAGCCACACTTAATGAAAGATCAGATGACTTGGAGCTAGATCAGCTCTGTCTGACCCTTACAAGCTATGTAAGCCCTTCTCAGCTTCTATTTCCTCATCCAAAAAATGGAAATAATACTCACACTACCTTCCTTACAGGATTGTGGTGAAGAAACCACTTAGTAACATCAGTGCATGATAGAAATGTGAGGATAAAGCATCGGCCCTGGAATCAGGAGGACCCGAGTTCAAATCTGGCCTCACACACTTAACACTTACTAGCTGTATGACTCTGGGCAAGTCACTTAACCCCACTGCCTAGCAAAAACAAAAACCAAAAAAAAAAAAAAAAGAAATGTGAGTTATCTGTTATTAATCTGGTGCCAATGCACAAAAACAAATCAGGATGTGAGGAAGAATGAATTTAAATTCCCTGCATTTACAGAATCCACTTCTTCAGGTTGTTGCTGTCCACAACACCCTAGAAAAGGCTGAAGATAACTGTATAATAGTAAAGGGGAGTGAAGGGTGATTTATGTTTGAACCTATAACTAACTTATTATGAAAGGTTAAAATTTTTTATAATCTTTAATTCCATGTAAGCTGCCTGAGGACACAGATATCTCCAGTGCTTAGCACAGTGCCTGGCACATAGTAGGCACTTAATAAATGTTTACCTATTATTGATTGATTAATATAAACCTAACCTGGAACAGCATTTAAAGACCCATTTCCTTAGGTATCATTTCATCAATCAAAATAAACAAAGATAGCCCAGTGGAGTTCTTGCTAACATCCTGATTTGTTTTCATGCTTTCAGGATGATTTAATAAAGCGCAAGTACAACCATGCCACTCGCTTGCTC